GTCTTATTCGTCCTATATCCTCTCCTCATCTCTTTGCCTGCACTTCTCTCCATCCATCTTCCACCCAGATAATGATGCTTGGGCCTGATATGTTTGCATGCTTGGCCAACACAGTGCACCATCTGCATAATAGGCTTGTTTGTTGCCATGGTACCTGTATTCTGCATTAAGGCCCCATTCACTGAAGGTGGAGTTAACCACTGAACTCACTGGAGGGCAGTCAAACTTCAATTTGCATATGGTAAATGCATCCCCTCCCACCACATGCAAGAATAATCAGAAGAGGAAAGGACAGTTTAAGGACAGATCCTCTTGTTTAAAGGGTGCTCAGCATGATAAATGTCTAATAATCTCTATTAATATCCAGTTAAAATTAGCTGTTTTGTCCAAATACAGTAACAAATAATATATTTAATTTAATAGGACACATATTTAAAAATCAAGCCGTCAAAGCAGCAGATTTTCACATTTTCCAGCTGAACACAAGCAACAGTTTGGCAGTTTTGCTTTACAAATATTTAAAATATTTATCAAAATTGGTGTTGATCTGCTACTGTAATAAGCTAATCATTTCAGTTTGGTTAAATGATTTAAAAATAGTTTTAATGCTGAATCTGAGAAATCTTTTTCTTCTGTAATGTGTGCATCCATGCTTCTCCCATGGGAGTGTTTGTATTGCTGACAGATGGACATGCATGTGTGTTAGATTACATATAGAAGACGCTCTCCCTCACATCTGCGCGTGTACACACACAGTCATCGAGGTGTGTGTGTGTGTGTGTGTGTGTGTGTGTGTGATGTGTATTGCTAACTGAAGGAGAATCCCTTCCTGTTGGGACTCTAGCCTCAGTACCAACAAAGAGCTGCATGTCTAACTCTCAGGAGTGAGAAACAGCCTCCTTTCTTGCCCACCCAGTGAGAACCTGTTCCAATATTCATGAGGATATTAATATTGATGATCTTGTTTTATTGTCCCACAGATCTTTATAATGGTTTTGTAACTATCTACCCGAAAGGCAGTTATGTACAGAGTTATGGATGCCTTGGTGCTCTGTGGTGGCAAATTGTGTGTGTTTACAGCAGTTTGTAACACATGTATGGATTAACAATTTTAATGCAATCACCATTCTTATGTTTATGTGCCCTTGTGGGGCTGTGTCTCACAGGGTGATCAATCGCAAAACTCAGGATGTACTGTCAATATACACCCTAGATCTGAAATGATGACAGACAGCAGGAAGAAGATGAAGGCTCAGAGATTTCTTGCTAAATCAGATTCTGCAAATTGTTGGTTGATTTCTAGCCTTGTTGTTTGTGACTATATAGTGTAAATATAGTGAGCATGTATATGTGCACGTAGCCTAGCTTTGTTGTTTTCTGTAGTCTGCACACAAATATGGGAAGAAAAACTTTGGGAAATGAGGCCAATTTTCTTACATAACACAAAGTGTACACAAAATTACCAGACTGTGTTTTGTTAATTAATGACTTGTTGAGTGATAAACTTGTTGCGGCAGCTCTGATTTTATGTGTCAAACTGGGGTCATTTAACAGCAAGCTCCTGGGCTGCTTTTTCTTACCAGTCTGCCCACATGTATGACAGTGCTAGGATCAGCTTTCAAGTTTGTTATATAATCTTAAATGATTTCTCATATCTCAATACACCATCCACTGGCACTAATGAAGACAGCACAAGAAGAGATGCCTGGGGGGGTGTATGCCTGCACATAAAGCTCCACGAGTGCAGTTCTTCCAATTGTTAGGTAATTTCTTAGTTAGACAGATATTGATTAGAGATCTGTTGTATTAGAAGATGTTAGTGTAGCCAGGATGTCTTCCTCAGGCTGTTAAATGCAAGGTTAGTTAAAGCAGAGAAAGGCTGCAGTCAGGGACAAATGTTATTATGACGGTAAAAGTGACCATAATATTTGTCTTAATGTGTAATGTTATGTCATATTGTTTTAGATACACACCACGAAAACAACAGCCACACACCTTGACTTTTCCTCATGTTTTGGCTAAACGTTATAGCAGCTGCAAAGCTGGTGAGAGAGAGACGTCTCGGTTGACGTTTCTGTGGAGGAGGGGGCGAGCCAACTAAGTGATGATATTGTATAGCAATTCTGGGTTCGGGGTCTTTTCTGCTTCCGGGCTGCTTGGGCAGCCTGGGGGTTGGAAGATCTCTGGAAATGTAATGTTAATTCTTGCCTGTGACTCTTTGAATAAACCAGCACGGTTATATTTTTTATATACTCAAGTGGTCTGAGTCGTCCCTCTGAGTTCCTGGTTTGAAAGAACCGGACGAGGCTTTATAATAGAATAAAGCCTTTACTATGTAAGTGAAGGTACACTTTGCACGGATTAACTTTCCTGTAGTACAGTACATGAATATGTACAGTACGAGTGTGTATGTGTATCAAAGCACATGTGTCTCCAGCACACAGAGCATGAGTAGCAGGGTTGTGAACTCAGTGTCTGGTGGATTAACGTGGTGAGTAAGCAGCAGAAACAGACAGGAGAGTGATACTTTCGAGCACTGACGCTGACATGCCTCTCAGTGTGTTTGTCTGTGAGACAATATTTTGTGTGGCAGCATCAAAGTCTACTGTCAGTCAGTTTTATGGAGTTAATAACCTAAGACTTCCAGTCACCTGTCATGAGAATAAAGTTAATGGTCACTGGTCATTACCTCATCATCATCAGCATCATAGTGGGCATACTGCTGCTCCAGCAGCTCTCTCTGTCTCCTCTCCTGCTCCAGGGTCTGCTGGATCAGAGTGGCAACCTCACTCTGCTGGCCTGGACGTTCTCGACCAATTACAAACCTGCAATGACGCAAACACAGTCAATTAGCCTGTAAAT